TTACATCATCACCTAACATGTTTGCCAGTAATTGTGATCTGAGCTCTAGGAGAGATGTTAAAGAGAAAACAAGTGAAGAAAAACACTAAATATGTTTAAAACTGCAATTAAACTTAATGAAATAAAAATAATTTTATGACTTCGGTGCTTAGATCCACATTATATAAATTAAATTAGTGAGAATCTTAAGTTTAATCTGCAGCCTGTTAGATGTCACGAGACAGGGAGGACGAGGTGAAGCAGTGACTGATCTGTGAGTCAAACACAGCTGGGTCCAGAGATTTATTTTACAGAGACAGTATCAGAGAAAAAACAGTACATTAAATATTATATCCTGCTTTGTAAACCAGGTAGAAGCAGTGGCAGCTCTGCGTGATTCATTTGCAGCGGTCTCCTCTCAGCTGGAACTCCATTTTTGTGTCAGGGGTTGGGTTTAGGACCAAGGTGTGAATTGAGTTTAGGTTAGTTTTAGGGTCAGGTAGGTACCTGTGAGGTTAGCTTTAGGGTTTGTGGTCAGGGTTAGGCTGTAGAAATTACTGGAAATGAATGGAAGTCAATGAATGGTCCTAATAAGGATAGAAATACAAACCTGTGTGTGCACGCTGCTAAACGAGGCAGTGAGTCGGGACACTTTGGGGGATGGGGGGCACTGCACCGCTCGCRGAGCGGAGGAGGRGAAAAGGAGAAAAGTTCTSTCGTCAAAGYTTCTAAAAGTCTCTAAAAACACCAGGAAAAGTCACCAGATTTGTTGCGTCTCTTTTTGGAAAAAAAAATTCACTAGAGGGTAGGGCTGCCACAAACGATTATTTTTATAATAGATTAATCACCGATTATTTTTTTCGATTAGTCGACTAATCAGATCGTACATTAATTGAATATAAAACATAGAGCTTATCGTGCCAGAATGCAGCTGCTATTATATAACCATGGTTAGATTTTAGCTATATGCTAACTAAAAATAATTGCTGTGGAAGGTAAGTTCTGCTCTGCAGATATTACACAGGTTTCTCTTTCATTTTCTTAAAATGATCCCACACTTTTGAGCTCTGTTGCTGGGTAGTCATGATACCAGAGCCTGTCTGTATAATGTCTTGTGACGTCCACGGCCTACCCCAGTTACCACTACTGTGCATGTGTGTCAAGGACAGAAAGGCAGATGTGGCAGTGGAAGGTGTCAAAGCAGTTTGGAGAGAAAAACAAAGTAAAGAACAACAAAAAACGTTTAATCGATTATTAAATTAGTCTTCTATTTTAATAATCGATTAGTCGTCGATAAATCGATTAATCGTTGCAGCTCTACTAGAGGGGTCTAAAAAGTTTCTAGATCTATTCTAGCGACTGTGTAGCTAAGTTAGTAACACTGCTCCGCTCGGCTCGGCTCACTCCCAAATCACGTGACCAGTCAAATCGCAGATTGTGCGATTAGAAAATCTCATTTTAACACATAGCGAGATTATCGCAAATGCGATTAATCATTCAGCCCTATAAAGAAGTGAAAGCAGAAAGCTGCAACATTACTAAATCACATCAGTGCTTTAACAGTATAAAATAAATGTCTATTAAGAMACATGAATTTAGTTTTAAACCTGAAAAGTAATTGTGTTTTAGTCCTGACCCACAGCTGCATAAAGCTGCACCACGTGATTCGAAGAAAATCCAAACAAAACCTTGTCAACCATCTCCCATTCATTTGAATTGTTGAGAACGTAAATGAGTTTTGTGTTTGTGTGTCTGCAGTGAGCTGGAGATGCGGGGTGGCGGTGAGGTTTGGGCCGTAATAAGCGGTCGTCTCGAGGAACTGCTGACGCTTTTGAACCTGGACCCTGCAGAACCGGAGAGCACAGAGACTCTGTGTGCTCTGCAGGGTCTCGCCATGGTCCTCCACCTGTCGGCCCGCTGCTCCTCTCCCGTCAGGTATCACCCTTCTCTTAGTGTGAATGCTGACTTAGCTTTTTTTATAGTTTCTTCCATGATTGATCGATTGATTTTTTTTTTTTTTGCAATCAAACTACTTCGTCATATTTTGTGTTGTTTTAGACATTTCCATTAGGGCTGCACAATATTAGAACTTGTGATGACAATCTCAGTAAAGTGATAAACCCATATTTTCTTCACTTTTCACTTTCTCTTCCATCATCACCATCTTCTAAAACAGGAGTGAGCATCAAGGCCAGTGAAGTCATTTATATTGACCAAAAACATTACTTGCATACAGAACATGGACGCATGATGTTTGGAATATATTGCTTTATGACCTTTTTTGCAGTTTGTACAGTTCTATGAGTTATTCATATTGAGCTGCCAGATATTGTGATGACACTAAGTTTTCATTGTGTTGTGTTTAATGGTTTTACCAGGAATAATCTGTTATGGCTTTTTTCTTGTTTAAACTTTTCAAAGTAATTAACTTTATAAGCCTCTAAGGAAATGCAACATCTCGTTTACTAATTTAAATTGTAGCATCTATTGCTAATTTCGGCTACATTTTTGCTAATTTTACCTTTAGCATCGTTGCTACTTTCAGCTACACTGCAAAAACTGTCCATCTAACCACGTTTTAAAATCTTATATCAGCCAAAAAGTCTTTTTGATCTTGTTTTGAGACTGATTTACTAAACAAGAACAGAAATATATGAATCTTGTTTTCAGAATGTGTAAGATTATTTGTCTTGTTAGGCTGGAAATTTGAATCAAATTAAGTGAAAATTTCCTGCCAATGGAGTAAGAAAATTTAACTTGGTAAGATTTTTAAAATAGGAAAAATCTGGATAAAATCAAGATTTATAAGAATCTTACCAAGTAAAATTTTCTTACTCCATTGRCAGAAATTTTCACTTAATTTGAGTCAAATTTCCAGACCAACAAGATAAATATTCTTACACATTCTGAAAACAAGATTATTATTCTTATATTTCTGTTCTTTTAGTAAATCAATCTCAAAACAAGATCAAAAAGACTTTTTGGCTGATATAAGATTTTAAAACTTGGTTAGATGGACAGTTTTTGCAGTGTAACGGTTTGCTAGTTTTACAATCTGGTCTGTTAATTTTAGCTTTAATAGTAGAATTGCTCATCGTTTTAGGTACTTACCTGCTAATTTGTGCTATTGCTTTACTACCTTTAGCTTCTATTTTGCATTTTAGTGAGTGTTTTGCTCATTTTAGCCTGTTTGGCTGATTTTAGCTCATGTTCTTTTTATTTTAGGGAGCGCCTGTTTTACTCATCTTAGGCACTGTTTTGGTTTCAGCTTCTGTTCTGCTTATGTCTGCATTTTTGTACTAATTTGAAGCAATACTTTTGTTAATTTAGGTCCTGTTTCTGCTCATTCAAGCTTCTCTTTTACTCATTTTACCCTCTGCTCATTTTTTGCMTTTTAATCTGCTCGTTTTAACCACAGTTTAGATTATTTTAGTTGGTTTTGTTGATTTAAGCCTCTGCTTGGTTCATTTTAGCTCCTGATTTGCTAATTTTTCTGTTTGTTTTAAAGGCACAGTGTGTAGGATTTTGCCAATTCTTTTAGCCGAAATTGAGATAATCACTAATGACAATAATAAAAAACATGTCTAATCATTGCAGACAAAGACCTTGTTTTATTATTTTTACCTTATAAAAAGCTGTTTATATCTCCATGGTCGCGGGTCGCCACTACAGGCAGCCGCCATCTTGTCTACGAATCTTGTCTACGAAGGCACATAAAGGACAAACTGCGGTGGTGGCGTCAAAAACGGTTTTAGTTGTAATATTTGTTGTCTGTCATTGTAGCTGGGATAATTTTACTTATTAAAGCTCATAATCTTACCACTTGAAACATCACTAGCCCTGAAGCTGCTGGTAGACATCGYGGTTGGAATTATCAAAGGTTTTTGACACCTGAGAGACACCGTAGCAACTCCTTTGCGTTTGGAAGTGGGGGTGGGGGTGGGGGGAGGACCAGGGAGGATGATTCAACCACTTAACCACTAGATGTCGCTGAAAACAACAAATCCTACACACTGTGCCTTTAAGTTTAGCAAAAACTTTAGTACAGTCATAAAACCCTAAGCATTTACACGACCTACACCCTGAGGCCTTCTGTTCTGATGGGGATTTTTACCACATTGTTGTGTACTTTTTGTGTGTTTTTCTTCCACAGGTCATGTCCTGTTTTCCGGGTGTCCACTGAGACTTTGAGCAGGGTTCTGACGATCTGTCAGTCAGTGTTAGAAGGAGGCTCCAGACCTGTTTCTGAYCAGAACTACTTTGAGTCGGCTTTCCAGGCGACCATCAGGATCCTTGACTCTGTTCTGTATTTGACATGTAAGAACAGATCTAAGCAGTTTCAGCTGTTTATTGTGTTGTGATAAACACATGGTGATYAACATATTTCATTTTTTTTCTTTGTTCTAAAGTTGTCTGAAGCACATTTTTTAATCACAGAGGACTGATTGTCATGTTTTTTTATGTGTAGTGAGCAGCCAGGTTGAAGATCGGCTCCAGCGGAGTGTGTGCGCTCTGCTTTCTCTTCCTTGGGTGTGCGAGAACAAATCTGTGTCAGCCTTTAAGAGTTCAAGGTTTCCCTCCTGGCTGCCTGCTCTGGCTCAAAGGCTCGGCTCCTGTTACTGTGAGTGTTTTTCTGTTGAAATGGTTTCTACAGCCTTCGGCGTAACGTTTAAACTTCATTAAATCCTGTGTTTTTAGCACTTGAAGTCCAGGCTAACTGCGTGTCGCTGCTGGCCTTCCTGCACCGCGGTGTGTGCGACAGCTGGCGCGTGTGTGTCTTCACCAACACTCTGCAGAGTCCCAACGAAGTGGTGAGAGCTGCAGCCGTCAAGGTCTTCCCTGTTCTCCTTCACCACCTCGGAAACTCTCACCACAACCTCACCKGCACCACGCTGCTGTGAGTGAACTGTTATCAACATTTATCAAGTGTTGTTAGCTGTATATGTTTGGTCTTTCATGTTTCAATTCTTTATTCATTTCATTAAAACAAAACAAATAATTTTATATACAATATATAATAAAAAGAAAAATATAAAAATAAGAGAAATAAGAAAAAAAATATGAGAAGAAAAAAATATATATATGTATATCAAAATCACAAATAAAATGAAATGAAAGGCAGCAGAGAGAAGAAAACAATCTTATAATATC